TTAGAGGTTGGTGGTAGCTGTTGGGGTTTAGGATAAGGGGCTATAGTTGGGGGTTAGGGTTAGGGGTTAGCGCAACTATTTCTCAACCATTGAAAGTACAACCGCACTCTCCCAATAGCTTTTCTTTTGCATACAACTACTTGATCTCGTCGCCTGTGCGTTCCCTGGCCCCAGCTGTAAAAACCCCTATTACCACCAGTCCCGTATAAGAGGTGACGGGTTTGTTTACTTCAGATGGGACTACCAAACCACATCTGACCCAAAGTTTTAGTAAAATTTCATTGAATACAGTAAACTCGGTAATAAATAGTTTTTCGAACTGGCGATATGTCTACTCATTTGAATGGAACTCACACGGTGTCTGGAGAATAAGATGTATCCTTAAAGTGTTATTGACAAAATAATGATCAATTAAGCCAAAATTCTGTACCGTATATGAATAGTGGAACGGGATTTTAGATTATTATTCTAAAACGTGTTTCGCCACCCCGTCCTGTCCATTTTTTCGGGGCAACATGCTGATTCTCGCTTTTCTTGAATTGTGCCGTAAATCATTATGTTCTCTGCCATTTTCTGTCAAGGGATATCAACAAATGGGAAGGCTGAGTCAAGCGGAAAAGAGATTACATCGTATGCGCTGGAAAACTCGGCCTAAATTGTCCTCTTTATGCAACAACGCAGCTTCCCTAGGGAGCCCAAATCAAAGACCTATCAAATGCACGTCAAGTGTATGCAAATGCGCCTGTTGTTTTTGAGCTGGTCAAAAAGAACAGTCCATTTCTCTCACTAGTAGATTCATTTTTGAACCGCTAGGAGCAATCGTGCTTTTACATGTCTCAAATTTGACCACGTTGAATTTGACACGCAAATGTGTTAATATGACATGGCCTCAAAGTAAAAATGAAACTAGAAAAACTCGCCAACTTTCATTGCAGGTTTCTATGCAAACAAGGTTTTCAAACAAACCTTGTAGGAAAACCTCAAGCCTGACGATAGTATTGAGTTGAAAAACTGTGATGGGGTCTAGAATTTGTCCGAACTTGTGAAACATAGGTTATCCAGGGCAAATGCGGGGGTGAATACATCCAAGTCAGAAAAAGTAAACGTGCTTTGAATAGTAACAGACGGCATAGGTCCAGTGATTTCGGTGTTAGACCTATCGTAAGGAATGGGCTCACCGCTGGTTTGGTCTCCATGAAAAACCCCAAACAAGGCGTGTCGAACTGAACATACGGTTACGCAGACCTTTTTTCCGAAGCAGAATCAGGTTATTTGATTGCAGCCTTCCCTTTCATTAAAGGATTAATTGTAGCCCTGAAACTAAATTAATCAAATTCTGGCAGACCAAAAGCCAACGCCAGTAACAAAGCAGTCTCATTTAGCCACTAGACATTCTCGGACTAATAAAGGTCCTATTAAGTCAAAAAATTATCATGGATGTATTCTAGACTACGGCAAAAGAGTAAACTGACAGTGCAGATTGTTCGTGTTCATGGAAAGAAACTAGTGCATTCCGATGTTTAAAAGGTTTCCGCTTCATTCTGACATTTATCGCTGCAAGAGAAAGTGAATTACTGCAACAATCTGGTTTTAATATGACTGTTCAGTCAGTCAGTGAATGTTGTCGCCACAAAGAGGATGTGTGGTAAGTCTTTTTGTTTTAAAGCATCTGAAACTATAGCACAAAAGGGAACGCTAATTTCGGCTCTTTTGCGAATGATAACGATCTACTGTGAAATACCATTTTCGAAAAAAGGCGCTAGAGCCAGTCAAATATTGTTCTTTTTCATCCCCTGAAAGCTCATATTAAGAACTTGACGTAGTGCGTTTAAGTGATCTGATTCTACCTTCTACTGCCTCACTTGATCTAACTTGCTTGGTTTTCGGACTGTTATCCCGCAGGAGTAATATCTGGATGCTATAGTAGGCCAAAGGTGGTTAGACGACGCATAAACAAATAATAGTACAGAGCCAGAAGTACCTTATTAATACCCGGTCAGTTCACTTTACCATAATTTTATATTTTCGTACCTTTGTCAGTTCGTTCCTTTAATATGTAACCTACTGCTGAAAGTGTTCATCTCCAACACATATGGATTGGGAAGTAATTTTTCCAGGTAAGGATCAACTACGCTGTCTTGGTCCCAAGTGGGAAGGCAATTTGGACATGGCAAGTAAAGGAGGCCGAAGGAGGATGCTGAAATCGTTAGTGAGAAAGAAGCCAAAGCTAAAACGGAAAAGGGCAACCTGATGTCTCAATTTAGAGGTAGGGTTATTTTTAGAGTTTGGGTTAATGTCAGACTGCGAATTTGGTTTAGAGCTAAGGTCCGTGTTACGTTTAAGGGTTCCGGTCAGATTTAGGGATCGGATTGTGATTTAGGTTTACGTTTGGTGTTGAGGTTTGGATTGGGGCCAGTTTTGGGGTCCTGAAGGGTTACGGCTAAGGTTGGGGTTTGGGTCATGGTTAAGTTTAGGGTTTGGGTTTGCGTAACGGTTAAGGATGAAGTAGGAGTTTGGGTTAAGTTTAGGACTAGGGTTTGGGTCAGAGTTAAGGTAAGGTTTAGGGTTGAGGCTAGGGTTTGTGGTTGGTTTAGGGCTAAGTTTAGTGTTAAGTTTAAGGTTTATGTTATGTCTGTAATTACGTTAATGATTAGGTTTACTTTTGGGGGTCACGGTCATATTATCCGTTGGGTTTGAGGTATTGCTATTCCACGTGTCCTGTCAGCCAGGTCTTTTGTGTGGACTCTAGGCTTCCTTCAATCTTGCGGCAGATTTGTCGTATATCCGGTAGCCGTTTCCGCGTTACCCTTGGCTACTTTCCCCAGCAACGACTTTACTTTCAATGCCCAGATTGCGCTGACACTTGAAACCAGGACAGCGTAACCGATACTTCCTTTTTCCGAAAATTGTTGTCTGTATGAAAAAAACCTTGTAGGATTTTCTCGATCCTCAAAGTTAAAGTTGAACCAACTTTAAAGACCCAACATGCATTCTTATTAAATTCATATCAACCACCGTATGCAGCCAGCATCTGATATAGCCACCACATTCGGAATAATGCAGTAATATATTTGGGTTCCGATTTATTGTTCGCCGAGGGTTATGTAAGTGCATTAGTTTAAGTGAGGTCAGTGGCAAACTGCATGTCCGTCATTTTACAATCTAAATCAGCAACTGTTAGTTAAATCTTGTTTTTCAGCAGTGTGAAAGAAGTGTACAGACATACTTTTTGGTTAGTTGGAGTAGATGTCGAGGACGGGGTAGTGAACTGCAAGTTAAAATGTCTGCCTAGTTATAAAAAGTATGCGAACACCAACTTGTCCGTTCAGACCGACGGAAAAGTTGCTAAAATTGGGATTCCGGCTTCTCCAGAGATACGTATGGATTTCAGAGGCTTTATGCAAGAGATTGGATGCGGAAAACGAGAAACTTTTGATAAATTTTGCCGTTCTGAAGTTGTTTAAAATGCAGTCTGTTTCAATAAAAATAATCCATGCACAACATCTTAATTTTTTTCACTACGAGTTGTTAGACGGGCATTAGGCCTTTGCGACCATGGCTCCATATTTGCATTTGTGAAGATTGCAACAAAGTTAGGCATACGACGTATAATTCAGTATTTAAGCTTTTCTTTTCAAATATTACGTTCATTAACAACCACATTTTCTGAAAATCTATCATGATTATTAAAATGCCAGTCTTGAAACAATAAAAAGTATTTGCGGGTACTGCTATGGCGATAATGTCTTTTACTCTTAAAACTTAGACTACAATTCGACCTTTACTATCACCAGAAACGAGCGTTTAAAATATTGCTTACAAAGCATGCAGGCATAATTAATAAAAACAGGCATTTATCAGAAACAACTGTCGACCAACCGTCTCCCAGAAAGGTAGTCCTAATGACTATCTAAGCATTAGTTAATTTTTCTACTATTAGGCACGTCTAAACGACGCCCACAAGGAGCGTGAGCGCTGAATCATAGGCCGGCCATGCCATCAAATTTTATGCTATTTAATTGTCTTCACGTTTGCATTGCAAGCAATACCATCTTTATAATTTATTTTTCTTATTCCGCCACGCACATTATCTTAGTAAACTATTCGTCTGAATAACGAAAATTATAAACAGGGATAAAAGTTGTACGCAGAAAAGTTCAAATCGATATCATTAACTTACAGAGTTTCACTAATTTTGTTAGCCTTTTGATACTCATACCCTTATAAAATTTTATTTTGTCGTGCTGTGTCTCGAGAAAATTCGAGAGAGGAAATTCCGTATTAATCATGGGCACAAAGACTATTTCGATACAATCATGGAAAGCATGATACGGAACGTTAGTTTGTTTTCTGAAATACAGTAGATAAAATGTGATAAAATAATCGACACGCATTGAGTGTTAGTGTTGATGTGAAAAGTATGTAAAGGGATTTTCAATTGCGCCTTATATTTATTTGAGGTCACCTTGCGTGAATGTCACGCATCCTCATCAGTGTGTGATTTGAGACGTTTTCTGATAAATCAAGTTATGGAGGCTCTTGTGTTTACTACTTGACTGAGCTTTGTGTCGATATTTCCAAACGCTTTCTTAAACTGTGGAGAAGTTATGCACTGTGAAAACAAATACACTGTTCTTGAAAGAGAAATTCATACTCAGTATTTTTGCATTTGGAACATATACCACCGACGAACGTTAGAGCCCGGCATCTTATTTCAGTGTGCTTGAAATAAAACAGGACAGTTTCAGTCCCACAAATTTAAGAGCTAATTAAAATTAATTACAAGCAACTAGCAAACGAGATAGGATTCCTTCCTCCAACGAATGTGTAACGCTCAGAAACCCCCTTTGATTTCGAATGAAAGTAATTTTTGCCGCTAGTGGGGTTTGTAAAAGCGGTAGAGTTGTGTCGAGGAGGGCTGGATTTTTTCTCCCCCTGGCGCCAGTGCATGTCATGCACAAGAGTACCGAAACTGTAATTTTTAATTGTTGCCAAAGATTTTAAGAGCATGCGAGATGGGTTAGACTTGCCTTCCGGCTACTTTTCGGCAGCATTGGTGTGTCACCGAAGGTGTATCGAATAATCTGCTTGCCATGTTCTACATTTCGAACTATTCTCCAGCCATCGAGGTTTTCCACCTGAATATGTTAATTGTAGAAATTAATCACAATATTAGTGTAAAGGAAACTTTTTAAAAACACGACTAGATATCTACGCATTTTTTAACAAAATATATTATAAAAGATATAGGAATATAGTCTGACTTCCGCTTTAAACGTGCGTACGGGGTTACTTACATTGTTTCCGTTATTCGTTATAACGACGAAACGACCGTCAGGAGAGCATTCATCGATTGAAATGTTTCCTTTGTATGACTTGTCAAATTGCGTTCTAGCCGTTAATTCTGCGCGCATGTTTTTTGGATCTAAATAGTGATGAAGCATGCACGTAACAGTATTATGTCTCTTCGACATTCGCGTCACTGTTTAATAGTTACATTTTTAATGAACTTATCGTACAGTCGGCCAAATAAAAGCGAATGTCTTCTGCAGTATTATTCATTATGGCACAATAGTAAAAATTTACTTGTCTGTGCTGGAGGCGTTAGGTGTTTATTAGTTTACGGTAATAGTGGATGCCAAATTTTGTATCCCCACAAACCTGCTTCATCCTTTTAACATGAAGACATGGCCTGCTGAACACCATCATCAAACCTCTGAAAACCCCCTAATTACTGGATTTTTTGGGGAGCAGAATGTTCGAAATATGTGCCTTAGTATAGCGTCAACTCCACTTTACTGTAAAAATGCCTTTTTCCGGTCAGTTGGCGTTTAGCACTCGTCTTTCGCGTCAGTGAAGTTTAGAGTTGTTTATTCTCAGGAGGCAATATTGTGATGTCAGCCACCTTTGATTGCTCAAAGGCGTAATTTAAAGAATGCGCAGCAGATGGTGGTCTTTCGATAAAAGCTGCTCTTTTTTTGTACTAAAACAGAAAGAGACTGTCGCAGTTGCGCACCCTGGTCGATAAGTGTTGACAAGTGACTTCGAGAGCATTTTAACCAACTTGGAGAGGACTAAATGCCTACTAACCATCGCCTGAATTTGTCGCCTGCATAACTGTTCAGCACAAATTTAACCTCTCCTATAACTTCTAGATGACCTGGGAAAGATTGTATGACAAGCGAACTAGTCACGCTGACCTAAAAAGACACTTATAACGTTTTGTTCATTTAGATTTAATCAGCGCGCAACTGCGTCAAGTATTCTCGCTCATGCAGAGAACATCCGCATTTCCAAACTCCTCTCGCATGGTAAAAATAAAAAGGGGTTTACTTGCCCAGTTTGTAGTTGCAAGATAGTTGTTGATCACCTATCAACCGAAAAAATATGATTACATGTGACTATGGAGTTGGAAATCTTACTACTAACAAATTGCAAAATTATCAGTTGTGGTAGATTTTGAGATACTCCTGGAAATAGGCACACATCGTCATTGGTAGGGAATCACAAACATCTGAATAACTGTTAACAAATCCGTATTAGGACAACGTAAATAATGTAATGGTGCAAAATGGCGCTCTCAATCTTTGAGTAATAACGTGGAGACACTTTGTGATGGAATCAATTTTGCTGTCACTTATTAGAACTGAAATTCAGACTTTCAAAACGATCGATAAACAAACGTAATCGTTGCAACGAGATACGCATAATAATCATATATGTCCTGGGCAGTTGTCATTGTGAAGTCTTGTGCTATTAGGGAAACTAATTGTTAGGGAATTATTTTATTTTGAAAAAAATAAAGTAGAAAATTTGGAAATGAATTTCATAGTCGTAGTGAAATAAGAAATAAGATGCTAAGTATTGTGGTGGTACAATTCCTTCCAGATTATTCTGAACTCATTACATAATGAAACAATTGTTCGCTTATCTTATAAGCTTTAGACACCCAAAGTAGAGCGTTCCAAGTATATGCGATGAATTGCTTTTGCTATCATCTGCTAGATAATATCCAAAGGAATTTGTTTTGCAAGGATTAGTCCTCACATATCCAAGTTAAGAGGACTTTATCCAGCAATACGCAAAGTTTCAAACTTTTTTATCTTGCTTTTGGTAGATAAAGAGATGTGGAAAGTTTTCTTAAGTAACAGCACTAGGACCCATTGATTGCAAATAACAAGTATATAGAAATTAGGCCTAAACTAATAATTTCTGTCTGCTTATCGGACAGATCTTTTTTGGCAGACGACAAAAAAACAAAATCTGAGTAAATTTAGGTCATCTCAACGGACGTCACTAGGCGAAACAACTTTATAATCTATGTTGATCAAATGTAGTGGATAGTGACAACCAATAAACTATTTGGTTAGCGCAAACTGAGTTGATTAGGCAGCTGACTTGAGCATTATCTCTAATCAGACAAACCTTACTTTCTTTATGGGGTTGAAAATACAATACGTTACGTTTATGGTTATAAATAAGGACTTTCATCTTTGAGAATAAATCCTTGTTATCCCCACTGACACAAAAAGAGACAAAAAGTCCGTAAAATGCGATTGCGAAATTCCTGTAGTTTGTCTTTAAGGATATAACAGGTCAAATGCCGTATAAAAACGAACCTATGCGTTAGACTATTTTTTCTGAGATGCGTGTTCCTTTGACTTATATCATGGAAAAACTGTTCAACAATTTAAAAAGTATAGGAAAAAATTACGTTCTACTCGCAATGTTAAACGAAGATTATCTTGCCTAGCGTTTTCAAAACAACGCGCAAACTCGGATGACGAGATCTACATTCCATCCAGCATAAACCGCATTGTGGACATTCGTTCCACTACATGCCAAACGACTAATCTAGTTGTACTTTATGCCGTCTCCTGCTTAAAGACATCCGAATCAAAAACGATAAACATTAGCCGTATTTAAAATTGTCTTACATGACAAATAAGTTAATTATTTTGCGATATTTTTGTGTTTATTATGGGAACTATGCATCTTATAATTCAAAAGTGTCACAAAATACTTTGGAGAATTGACGGACAAGTCAAGGCTTAAACACACATTGTTTTCCGGTTCGAAGTAAAAGGCGACATTATTTGCTACATTGTACAGCATGTGGCATAAATATTCTAAAGTTAAGTAGTTTGCAGGTCATGTTGCATGCATTTCCATAAATAGGCGAAGTTGGTTAACTTTTTCTCATAGATAAATAGCAAATATTTCTTTGGCAATCTTTGTAGAGAAAGCTAAAAGGAATCTATCGGTTGCGCAATTTAAAATCAACAACCTGTACTAACAACTAGTTTTTATCCGAGCACCGAATGGCATGAATAGTGACATGTTTGGCAACGGCATAGAGAAGGGCCCGCACTTAATTGTCAGTAGACTGTGGATCGTGTCATATGGGGTTTTATCATAACGTACATTTGCAGCCGTTACAGGAATTCCACTGCCAACAACGATTACATCCCACGACCTCAAACCTTAAAATCCGTTATTTTGTTAACTTTACTCTTTGGTTATTGTTTAATTACTACTCCCATTTCCGTTGCCGTACTATAACACAGGATTAGATTTTCGGCATAAATTCAGGTGGTTTCTGTCTTTTCTTTCATTTTGTCAGCTTACTGTCTAGCTTGTTGCCTTGCCCATAAAACTCCCTTTACGAAAAATCACGTATGGCACGATCCACAGCCTACTGACAGTTAATTAGGGTCCTTATCTATACCGTTGCCGCATATTTAAGTATGTTTTTGAATTAATGAGTGGACAGCCGTCCACTGGCTTTGTTGTAAGATACTTAAGGTCCAAAATTTTAACTATGGGCCGAGATGAATAACGACTATCTCTAAACAGTCCCCGCAAGTCAAACATAAGAAAATATGTAGATTTTGCTCCATTTATACTTCTTTAGTGGACATTTGCGCCGTCCCAGAAGATATTTCGGATATAAAGATCCTGTAGTCCATGCACACGTTCGAACAGCTTATAGTTAATTTTATACTTAAGTTTTGTTGCACTTCTCCCTCACAGGCTTTTCATATTACCTCCATGGTCCTTGCACTTTTAAAGACGGCATTAGGTGCCCTGCGGACGTTTGACTGGTTATTCAAGCGGATAACAACATTACAGTGTCAAGTGACTTAAAAGCCAGGAATATTTCTTTCGAACACCGAACTTTCAAGTATCCGTTAACATTCAAACTCAGAAAATAGCAAAACATTGCTTGTGTATTCCTCCTGGAGAATGTTATGGGTTGAAATAGCCACCAATTATTGATAAATGAATGTCTATTAGTTATGAAAGATATTCAAACAGTAACGACTGTTAACTCTATCGAGTGAATTTGGTGTTATTCTACGTATAAATCGGCACTGGATTTCCGCATACTACATAGAATTTTGAACGCGCTTAAAGATTATGTTTTGGTTAAAGACATGTTTGAGGTCTTCAGAGCTTTTTTGAGCGTTTGAAGATATCGTCCCAATTTTTAATAACTCTGTATTGGCCTTCGAGAAACAACATTACTACGGTATTCCACACATTTATTTGTCCCAAAAATATACATAAACTTTTGTCATATGGGTTTAACTAAGTCGCTGAACTACAGAGGATGTACTAGACAGGGTCCAAGTCGCATTTGTGCGGTCACTCCAGGTACGTCAATATGACTAGATAACCATAGTACAACAAGAGACTGTCATTGGTACACTGCACAGATTCACTGCCCGCTTCTGTGACGCACAGACCAGGTAGAAAAATCACCGGCGAGGTTGTGGCAGTACTCGCCAACTGTCAAATGACGGTCCTTACCAAACGAACCAAGGAACCTGTTAATTCTACTTCACCCCGTTCTAACAACAAACTATGCGGTCGAATTACCACAAAAAAGCAACAACCGCCTTTCCCATCCGCGCCGCCAGAGTAAGCTATGTCATTCCGACAACTTGTAAAGTTCCTTCACCTTCAAACAGTACAAGAGCATGCGGACTAGAGCAAAGGATAACTGTGGTCGTCCGGCAAGTATTTCGCCAAAACGTAGTCATTGCGGCAATCAGGGAGATCGGCTTCTATTATCAGGATGAACAGATCGGTAGAGCTTCCGGAGGCACCTTCTTTTAAAGTGGAGGCTCCAAGGCAGAGCGACGAGACGCCAGAGTCTACTTCGAAACTAGGAACAACATCGTAAGGTGGATACTCTCCACTTCACAAGAAACAATGATTGTCTCGTAAACTTGCGACTGCCTTTACGGCCCTGTCGTGGATGCCCACAACTCCCCCCCCCCTCCTCATGACCAGTTCAAATGTCCTGAAAACAAGTTCTACGAAGACCAGAATTCATGTCTCGCTAGTGTGCCGAAGGAGGACCAATTGACTAATCTTGACGACTTCAATGTCCGCGTCGGGGGGAAGCGAGGGGTCAAAAGGGGTCGGCAACTGCAACAGCACTAATCCTCCCCATCCCTGATGCGAAGGAATGCGACGTGGGTGCACCCTGACCCGCAGCACTAACAACTGTTGGATTACGTCTATGTCAGCAGGTGTATCCATTGTGACATAGTAGTGACCGGGGTAAAGCATGGTGTGGCCTGCCTAACGAACCACCGTCTCGTCATCCCAAAATTAGGCCGCAAATGGACGCTGAAGGTGACAGCGGGGCTATCCGATATAAAGTAAGCTGACTACTGTATTGTCCGATACGGTTGAAAGTCGACGGACTTTTAGCACTTGCGCCGCTCTCCACCTTGAACAAATCCGAGTACCGTTGGAACGTGCTGCCGCTCAGGCACAATGACTTGAACTGTCGGGCGTCAATCAGGCCTCCGCTCTGAAATTCCTTGGTCGCTCAAGCAGTCAGCACCAAAAGGATTTTGACACAAACGACGAAGAATTCTGCCACCTGTATCACAGGACAGACTGTCTGCATGCGAACTTTGACAAAAGCGGGGCAGACGACAATAAGGCTGGATTCTTTCGACGTTGAAGTATCCTACAGCAGAGGCTGAGGATGGTACAGAACTATTACGTAGCCTGCAAGACTGAAATGATCTAGGGAGTCGCCAGCCGTGATGAGATGAAAAATTTGCCCGCCGCCATCAAAGCGATCCTTAAGCCGAGGGCAGTTTACCACTGCTTAACCATGATGAAAGGAAACTACTGACGGAAACTTCAGGGGCTCGAGAGCACTCTTAAGATGTCCTTAACCACCCGTTAACAATCCGGGAAGAAACCGTCAGTAGACTTCCTCAAGTGTCCAATTCGACCGTCTGCATGCAGAGTAAGGCAAAAGCTGCCCTACGCGGGGGCCGACGCAATCACAGTTGAAATTTACGCGTTATCCCGTCAGTTTGCAGTCTTCCAAGCCGCAGCTTTTAGCACACCGCGGTAGTTTAAAGGCGCGCCAGATTGTTTATTGTGGGGATACGTGCTAGAGTACCGTGGAGACACGCTCACCCCAAGGTGACGTCACTTCCTCTCAAGCACCATCCCACTGTCCGATCCGGTCGGCCGTCTGATGCGGAGGGGTTGGGCACAAGAGAGCTAATGGCCCGTCAGCGTTTGCCACAGATGACCTGCCCCCCCCCCCTCCAACACTACAACACACCAGGTTATCACATAAAAAGGGATGGATTGCTCAGATCTCGCGCGTGTGAGAGAACCTTTGATGCCACATTGGTGGAGAGCCCTTGAGACTAACTCCTATTCCACCAGTCAGTCACTCCACACAAACGCAAACGCAGGGCTGACTGCGAGGACTGATCTGTATCACCAGTTGACGGCCTCCCAAAACGCGACAACTGAACTGTCGTGATGGAATTAATTGCGTCTGATTTACGATGACGAGGAATGATCTGGTTCCCCTTGGGAAGGGATTTCCTAGTGCCAGCCTCGCTTTCTTTTCCTCTTTCCATGCCCTGTTAGACTGCCGAACCTGTCAGCCAGTTGTTGCTGGAATTGGGCGCACTGACTGGCGCGGCGTAAGGCCTACGCCTTGGCGTGCCACTACGTATGCGGCAGTAGCTATGGTCTGGCGCAGAATCTGCATGACCCGACTGACGCATACCGTTGGCCAACCTGACTCCGGTCTTGATCCAGCAGACATCCTGCGTTGCCCATTATGCGGTCAAATCACACACCTTCGTACTGCATGGACCAAATCCACGGCAGGTGAATACAGGACATATGCCCCCTAAAATACTCTACAGCACTCCTGTTTCAAGCATACAGTCTCTTTGCCTGGTCCGGTATGACAGCCTAAACGCCGTATTCATATGTGCTCAGGTTTTTTGGGCGGAAAGCATGTCCTTGATGCACCCTGTTTTATGTAGGGTAGATTAGATAGTGTGTGGTACGCGTAAACAGAGTGTTTGACTCTGCTATCCGCTGGGCCCACGCGCACCCGCGATCGTTTAGATGCAGTCTTGCCGCCGAAGGTAGATAAGTGAATTACGAGATAACGTGGTACACGTAGTGCAAGTCAATCTCACGATGAACTAATTCATACGCTTTCCTGACTGCTGTGCCCACCTCTTGGGGCAACAGTGGCTGTCGGCGTTTAAAAATGCCATATTCAGTCACAACTCATTTGTGCAAGACCGTAAGCAAATTATCGAGAAATATTTAAGGTCGACAGTCATCATTAGGATGCCCGGCAACTTTTGTCTAATGCTCCGCTGCGTCAAAGTCATCCACTTTTCTAGAGATCAATTCCAGACGCGCTGTCCCCACAATCCGGCGGACTGCAACATACGCACGCGCGTGCATTCATGCGGTTACACTCGTCAGTGTCTCATCTGAACATGCCACCCCTCAGCTATGGAGACACACATCACTCATACAAAAGCGCTTGAACATGCCTCCACTACCTCTTTCCATTTCTTTCTCTCAGGCTTGATTTGAGATCGATAGAAGTGAATAGAAGTAAAGAAAAAAGCATTTGATCGCTGGAACAATAAGATTACTGACCCAACGTTTCGGATTCTCAATCGAGCACATCATCAGAGACGGTCGCAGAATAGGGTAGCGGAGGCACAAGTAGGGTGCAGTGGCCAGGCAACCGCATATCTTCAATAATTAGCAGCACCCGCGTTCATCGCGGCGGGTTGTGTTTGGTGCGATGATTACTTGTTGGTCCGTACATGAGTCGTTAATTGTCGCAATTCAACTACAGTGAATGACTCCAATAGATTCTTCGCGTATGGGAGGGCTTGCCAAACCTTGAGACTCATCCCACCCGGCTCGAAATTTTGATGCGCGTTCCCATACGTGAAGGGCGTCTTGGAAGCAGTCAGCCATCTGCTCACAGCACTTGGAGTTGTGGTTGCACACAGGCCGGAGACAAGCATCAGGCGCCAGGTCATGAGGCCGAAAAACCCACTGTCATAATAAGAAACGTATGGAGTCGTTTACCACATCCGCCACAGTTTCCAATAAAGCAACTACGTCGGAGAAACTTCGAGATTACTTTGAATGCGGATAGCCAAACATGTAGCCTTAGTGAGTAGGAGGAACGCTAACCGGCAAATCGCTGCTCATTCGACGGTACCCAGCCATGCGAAGAATCAATAACAGTGATGAAAGCACGGCGAATGACGACTTAGGTGCGGAGCGGAAGGCAATCACTGCACCATATACGATCTTCACCGATGAATGCAAGTGCTTTGATTAGTGTGGACGTGTGGTTACCTGGCCATTGCCTCGCTACCCTATTCTGTGCCTGTTTCTCATGATGGGCTCGAGGGAGAATCTGAAACGTCAGGCCATTAATCTTCTTGTTCCAGAGACAATTTCTAAATTGGAGTATCTACCAGAAAACAGACAGGGAATGCTGGAGGACCCACTGACGAGCCGAACTCCTCGTAGTTGCGCCATGCAGAGGCAGAATATCGGTGAAACACGCGTGTATGGACCTTTGGCTAGTACCTGTGCTAGAGTATACTACTAGCTGCCTGTCGGCAATTAATGAATATTGCGCGGCTTCCCGCCGTGTCTGATGGACTTTGGCCCAACCATTCATACATAACATTCTCGGTCTGAGCCTATAAATCTTAAATAAACTAATCTACTCGAAGTTCATAGATAATTTTTAAGGAAATTAAAAATCGCATCTTCTTTTCTAAAATTCTTTCTGTTATTCGCCTATCCGATTCTATCGGTCTCAAATCATACCTAAAAGAGAGAGATGGGATGAGGTAGTGGAGGCATGTTCAGACGCTATTGTATGAATGAGGTGTGCTCCATTGCTGAGGGGTGGCATGTTCATGTGGAACACTGATGATTGTGACCAAACGAATGCACGTGCCTGCGCATGTTGCAGTCCACCGGATTGTTATGATCAGCGCGTCTGGGACTGATGGCTAGGAAAGTGGATGTCGTTGACGTAGCGGAGAATTGGACAAACGTTGCCGGGCATCGTAATGATGACTGTCGACCAGTACCTTACATTGCACTCTCCCACTTCAGCATCTGATAATAGCTTGAGAGAGAATTCAAGACGTCGGACTAGTAACTTTCTTATTCCAAAGATATTCTCCTCTTGTAAATGGCTTGACACCGTCAAACGGCACCCTGGGCTCTCCAGTGGCCACTTTTGCTCCAGACATCAACTTGCTTCTCTGTGCTCAGTAGATCCCTCATTCTGGTGCCTTCGGACTTTTCCTATCCCCCGGACGTAGCCTGGTGATTATAGCAACTATAGTAGAATCAGTACAAAAGATGTCACAGACACCTCTTAACTAAGAGCTTCGAAGGGGTTCTTGCTAGTAAAAATTTGCCCAGTCCACAGGACTTTATGCACTGTAAAGCGGCAAACTTCCAACAACAAGGGTGAGTTATACGACTAAAGACCGCACTGTAGCCTTAGAGTCATGTCGTGAAGTCAAACTAGGGCCACCTCTTTGCCTTACGTCCACGTCTCGTGTTTAAAAGGCAATTTAAGTCTCAGTATGGGAAGGTTGTTTATTTTTTATAACGATTCAGAAAATCATATTCTACCCTTAATCTTCGTCCTCGTAAAGTTTTGTAAAATAAGAATCATATGTTAGTTCTCTCTTTTGCATGTCGCCACATTTGCCTGCTGTCAGGTTTATTGCTCCACCTAATCGCAAACCTCTGAAGTAATTACCGCAAATATTTGTCCTCTCTAGCCTAAAGATTTTGGCGAATCCAGTATCGCCATTGGTATTCTTCGACGTACTATTCGCGTTTTTTGTTTAAGTCGCATTTCATAGACAGGGTGTAGGTTGACGGAGGTTATCCTTTTTCTCCTAGGCCTTCCCTGCCCCAGGGTTTGAGAAACTGCGATATTTTCTCTGCTGCCCCTGTTTATTCTCATGTCCATAAAATGCAAAAGAAGGCAGAATTCAGTGGTGACTGAGAGGATCACACCATCGCCCAACTTTCCTCTTCTTATCTGATGTTATGGCCTAGTGAGGCGCTTTTAACCGTCGTTGCTTATGCGACCAATCTGGGCAGAGGCAACAGACAGACTAGATTGGGTAAAATTTTGATTTCGTAAAGAGTAAGCCTGCATACATACTGGATGCTCTATTATCTGCTTTTGCCAACAGTGAGGAATTTAAAGGGGTTTTTCTGGCCATTTTGCCGTCTGATTACAGAACAGATGTTTAGTATTGGCTGTTCTCCACGAAGGTGTAACATGGAATAGGCTGTTAGTTCGTGCAAGTCGTTAGAGATGAATATGTTTTTTACAAAAGGAAAGCAATTGTGGTTTTCATTTTACATTAACCAGAATGACTATCAACTGTCCTTCTAAGCGGCATTTGGACAAACAGGAGTCTTTTAGAGGACTTCCTATTGCCGAATCCTTTAACCTCTATCAAACAGACTTTTTAGTTCCTGTGGAGCGTTGGACGCATAATTAACTATGACGTCTCAAGGATATGCCTTTGAGTCTGAAAAATTAATAGAGATGTTTCTTACGTGCATGTCAGTTGGTAGACACTTTGGATGCCTACCCCCGGAGCACAGCTCGGATGTAAAGCATTTATCCTTGTTAAATTTCAAGTTTACTAGAAAGTCCTTCATTTTAAATAAAATTGAATGTGTGATTATTTTGTGCAGCCAACACTACTTCTGATGAAGCAGGATGATTTCTTGGAAGGAACACTTACTCAGGTTGAAAGGCACGGCAAATATAACGGAACAAGTATTGGTGAAAAACCAAGTATGAGCTCAAGCAACCTGATTTTTTATGATATGGTCAGGGAATTCACCACCACTTGACGAACAGTGAGAAACGATCCCGTCAAGCATGAACTGCGGAAATTCATACCTTATATATTTGTCGGTGGAGATATTTTCTGCATTTAGCGGTGGAGTTTGCGGTTTCATTTTACAGAAATACCTCCAGATACGCCTAACTAGGCACAGTCCAAAGGACTAGACATGTTACTTGTTCAAGGTCGTCGGTTAATGTTGGTTACTGCAAAAGTTAACTTATACGATAGAGTGAGAGAAGTAGACAATAAATCTACTGTAAATTTAAATAATTTAATAGAGCTTGGGTTTTGTGCACGTTTTCGAACAACTAACTCGGCAGCATGAAGAAATATGAGTTATTAATTTGCAAAAGATGCAATACACCTTAAATTCCCATATCCAAAGAAATGATCTAGAAATAATCAGCAGGTGAATAGAAATGACCGATGGACCTGCCTTCCCATGAGTAAATTTGCATGAAGACATAATACATGGGGCTACGCAATTATTGCGGCAAAACGCATAAATGCTGTCTGAAGTGTGTTTCCATTGATTTGCTTTTTATCCTGGAGGTGTGTTTATGTTGTAACACCCGCGAATCCTTGGTTTGAGAGATGAGGAGTCACGGACTCCTTATCCTTGGTGGCGCCGCTCTGTTTTTGCTCGTCATTTCAAGGCACGTCGGTTCTACGACTCCATCACACTGTGCCAACATCGCATAACAATATTGCAATAAGAGGATAAAATTATGTCAACCAAAGACCGGACTGTTTATTCAACCGTCAACCTGAACACAACTATAATGACCCTATTTAGCTGTTTTATTACGAGGATTATGGAATTATTTCCTAGGAAACAATAAGCCTTGTCTCCTTTAAGATCCAACCTCGATTTTCTGTCCGGTTTCTGCTCACTCAAACAAAACGCAGTCCTGGGACTCTACTACAATATCTATGCAGGTTACACAGCTGTGACCTTCCTCGACTGACCTTGAAGCAGAACTGCTTTGTGGGCCATATGTTATTTCATTTCTCTGATGTGGCGTTCTGGAGCTATTTTTGCGTTTCCGAATTTATTCTTTCAGCAATAAACATCTGTCTATTGCCGTTAAGTTGTGTTGTTGACAAACTACTTGTCCTTTAAGACACGCAAAAGTCAACAACTTTACCAGCTCCGTCACTTTAATTTTAATTGCATTGTATGGTCATTCATACACCCGTCACCCTGGCCATAAACATACTTGCTTTGAATGTTCAATCCAGACTTTTAGTTAGCGTTTTAATTGAGCCCAATACTGCCAAAATGTATAAACTATGTTTTCGTGAATCGCAGGCGGCAAACCGATGGTAAGACTGTCAGTAAGTAAGTAATAAACGTTAAGAGGGCATTAGTTCAGAAACAGATAGTAAAGAAAGGAAAGGAGAATCTGAGAGCGATTTGATTGCTGAAAACTCGGGCTGGCCTGCAGCCTCGAGATCACAGTTTTAAGAAATAGATATTTGGTAAAACAGTCGTCCGGATATCACGTTATTGTTCCGAAAACATCCGTTTAGGCATCCTCAAGATGCCTTCTAGGCCGTCATTGATTTTATTCTCATTTGGTTGATTTTATGCTCTTGACATGTCCGTTCTTTAGCCACATATAATTAAAGCTGCAAAGCCAACGTCCGATCGGTAAATTTGGCAAAGGTTGCTATGTTACCTGGACCGAGATACCACCTTTCTGCCTCTCGCCTAATGTACATGTTTTAGAGGCGTTCGGAAAAGTTCTAAAAATCCGTGTACGTAAAGCCTTTAGATAAACACCTTCCTAGACAAATACGTTCGTCTTACGCTTGATAGATGTAAAAAATTACGTGTTCTGGCCTTGGTAATGCACAAAGCATATGTGACGACCCCTGGCAATTTACCATACTGTATGGAGGTACATGCAGAGCAATGTATTCGGCTCTGCTCCAAACACCAACCTTAGCTGCACATCTACTTGGATAATGTAGAGGGATTTTTTAAATCAGCCATCTGAATCAAAAATAAGTTATGGAAGTATTATATTGTAATTACAGTAATTTGTAATGAGCTAAATCATAGTGCATAAATTTGAGGAGACTACTCTAAGTTTTAAAAACGTTTATGTCAAAATGAGGATGAGGGTGAATATTGGGTTTCGATGCCTGATGGTCAAGAATTTTACACGTGTTGGCTAAATAAAAAAGAAAATCTTGATGCTGCGCGATAAGTCAATTTTGTTAAAGCACTTTTCACGCTCTGAGACATACGTAAAATGCATTTCTGCAATTATATGGGGCGAAAGTATTACACACCGGTGTCAGCTCTATCGTGGTAAATTACGATGAATTTGTGGAAAGTTGAAGTCCATTTGACAAAAAAGGAATATTATAGTTCTACAAACAGTCTAGTTTATTGCATAATAAATCGGCTAACGAGATTATTCGAGCCCCGAATCTAGGAAGTACACCTCTGCAGGGTTCAAAGGCCCAGAATAAACCAGCTGATTGTATATTTTTTCGTGACTGTACACTGGACTTCTTGTGTTTTTGTAAATGTTTTGTTTCTTTCATTCATTAACTATAAATCTGTTTGTGAGAACTGAAACGTCTTTTGAACCGTTTATGCTCTCATACATGCACACGAGTTAAATGGAAAGGAATTATCAGTTCGTTCAGCATTCGAAATCAGTTGTACGTGACGTTTTCCTATAGTCAAACCCTTCCTAAGGTTTCCATCGAGAGTCTTTTTCAAGAATGCCCGACAACTTAGAAGATTTTCTATTTCCGTTCACTTTTGCAGACGAATTTTCCTTGTCTGTAAGAAAGCCGCAGTTGGCAATATATTTGAGTATTATGTATTTTTGGCCGGACTCAGCCGGAGGTCGGTCATAACTGTCACCCGTTTAACCGGGCTGCTGCTCTTTCGATAATTTTAAACCATGTCAACTAATCGATAAAAGGTGCTAGAGATGGAACAGTCAAGCAGAAGTCAACAGCAGAACTAGACGGCCTGGTCTGCTATCACCCCTTCAGGGCAGCGTTCACTTGCGCGCCCCAAAAATGAGTAACCACTCAGTCTTAACAAGGTTGAGGGCAGCGTATGGAGGGATCTTCTTTTTGTTTCTCGATGGACTACAGGCAGCACGACCATGAATCTATAAACCCACGATCCAAGCAATTCTTCGTTTTCTCGAGTTTTTCGGTTAGATAGACTCATCCTCTTGTGTCCAGGGGCTCAATCTCGAGACCCGCCTGCGGCCGCTCAATGACTAGTGTTATAGGCAGAATGACGTTGTCGAAAAAGACATGGGAGGTTGGAGTGACCACTTCTGACCAACAGTTTGTATGCTTGAGCATCAGGGATTTACAAAAGCTGTGGTTAGGTAAAGCCGCCTCATGACGGCTAATAAGACAGAAAGGGCCATTCTAGTCTCTCTTGTTCTTATCAGTAATGCTGCTCTGTATAATAGACTCGTTCCTATTCACGGGTTAGAGTATGACGTAATAATATCGGTTGATATCTCCGTTAAAGCGACAGTCTCTAGCTTCTTAACAAGATCTCGTTCATTTGTAGTTAGGTGGATTTCGATTTCGGGGTAGGACGGTTAAACCGCAGGTCATCGACTGAAAGCATCGCATGAAAGATAGCTGGCATAGGCTGCCTATCAAGTATTCACAGTACCCTTTACTTTCGGCAGTCCGTATTTCCATTTTGTTCTCAACCTAAAGTCTTTTTATTAAAAAGCATTGGTTAGCGCTTTTTACGAATCCTCCCATTGCGTTCAGCATGACCTTCGGCTTGCCATAACTGACTCAACATCATTGCGACTTTAGGCGTTTAATATAAAAGGTATCGATGGGCCTTTCTGGTATAATTTCGTATAAAAATCCTGTTTTCGAAAAAAGTTGATAATTAACATTTACATGGACTACAGTGACTCAAAATTGGCACATTGAAAGACGGAACTCACCTTCGCCATCAACTTCAATAAGTCGGGAACGCAATGAAGACCCCGAGGGATCGCTTCGTTCGGGAAAGCGATGAGCACTATTAGCCAAAAGCATCAAGATCGGAAATGAATATTGTCCAACGTGAAGCAATAAACAACAGTTGACTGAAACTAGTACTGTTACTAGCTTCAAATTTTAGGCCTTTTTTCTGTGAAAAACCATAGTGTGATCTGCTATCAACATTATATTTTGAAAACAATTACATAAATGTAACTCAGAAAAAGAAAGCATGTAGTAGTGTATGATTCATTAGCTGATTACGTTGTTTTGTAGGCCAGCTCACCAATGACTAATAACTATTTATGATGACTGCTACCGGAATTACGCTGGAAACGATAAAAATGCTCGGAAAGCACCTTTTTAAGCACAAAAGCAATCGTCTTTCCATTTGTGCCATATTAACACAGAATAATCAGTCAGTACTTAGTTTCAATTTCGTTTCCCCGATCGCTGTCCTTCACATTCTTCAGCAATTGATGGGCACCATGAAAATTTATCGGAGGCAAATATCCAACTGAATTTGTGAATAATATTTTGATAATGACCTTTCCTGGATCTATTAACAGCATGACTATTTTGAACAGCTGCGTATATAGATTTGTTTTAGCTGACTGGACAACAAAGCGAAATTATTTTTGGTCGTGTCTCAACGCCTGGTGCTGAGGCTTTTATATCCATATAAGTAGCGTGTTGGTCCATGTGAGTCGGTCATTTTATCTGACTTGAGAGCATTCCGTCTGTATCTTATTCCGAAAACGTTCATCCAACTTATTTGAGAGTTTATTTACAGGAGCAGTTTCAAATGACTCTGAAAGTTTTTTTACGTTGAGGGCAGTAATATCGAAGCTAAAATAAAAACTACCCACTGGTGGCTCTTGATTGAAGGCGATGGTAAGCTGAGTGAAATATAACTATTTGGGCTCACAAGAGCATCAGCGGTAAGACTTGAAAGAAGTCACGTTCTCTGTGGCTTCCAGTTCGGTAGTAATATGACAGCCCGTCAGGGAGGATGAGGGAAGTTAAGATGCATAATGCACTTCCGTTCTAAGGGGATTTTCAAGCGAATCCGTCCTTTTTATGATCCGCGCTGTCTTACGATGGCTCTGAGGCGCAGCTAACCAGGGAGCACAGTTTTGTTCAATTATCCGCATTGCCAACGGCATCGCGTATCTTTCAACCTTGCTCACACTGACGTACGCATTCTAACGAAGACAGGAAGGGGACATGATATGCAATAATAATAAAAGCATCCTACTTACTAAAAGCTAATTTGTCGGAGAGGTTATTACCAGCGCAAGCATCCCACTTCCTTCACCATGGCTCTCGTCCTTTCTTATCCTGAGTGAAGTACTGTGTCGCCCAAAAAAATTACTGTTATTCTAGTCCCCTTTGAACTCTTTCTCTCTCCCTCTCAATCGGAAAACGCTGGTATTTGCAAATGAGACAAAGCTTTTAGAAATTCTGGTAGGCTTGTGTTTTGAAAAAAAACGCCAGTATGGAAATATACAGGAATTCAATGATGAGCTGCATGCTTAATTGACATTAATTATGAACGATTTTACAATACTGGAAGCGGTATAACGCATCCCTTCTCGTTCACTAGGAGCAGATAGCAAAATATAAGACAGCGAACCTCAAGCCGGGAGCATCTGCTCGTTGTAAGGGTAACAAAACCTAAATTAAATTCTTCTGGATCTCGAAATCTCGAAAATTAATTGAAAATAAAGTGGTGCCCTGTCTCCATGCATATTTTTTTTTATTCCGAATGCCAACATGCGATCTCGTTACATGTTTATTCTGTATGTCACCTTGTCATGTAAGCTAATCGTCCTCACCGGAAACAATATGACCCGTGAATTAATTGAAGGCTTGGACTCGGATGAGAACCCAATCAATCGCTGTCACATCCAGGCTCGCGACTTCGATCGACGATTTACTAGCACAACCTATAATTGTAGCTTGCTCTGTCATTGCTACTTTCTCAGACAATGGATTCTTGCACGAGCTCCAAAGCTCAGAGCCATAAACAGACTGTTTCGGTGCTTGGCAAGCCTTCTTCCTTACTTAACTTGATTGGTTCTTATTAAAAAGAAGTCTGTGTAAACCAATGTTGTAATTGAGCTCTCCGAACATGGAAAATTTGTCACTTTAATAGATTGCTGATGTAGGCATATATATTGTTGACAGTGGCTTGTAAAAGAGTATATTGAAGCCTAATTAGATAAGGCCTATCGGAGCAATGTTTCCAATTATTTCTGCACCCAAAAAATTTGTGCAATCAAAATCAAATTTATTTCCTCAGAAAAATAACCTTTTCGACACGTCAAGAGTTACTTTACGGGAAAGTTGTCTGGAAGTTATTTGTCGTACTTATTTTTTATGGATGGAAAAGAGTACTGTGAATTGTTATAATCTGACCGCTCACATCCATTTCTCTCTTCTAAACGAAAACTAGGCCAAAACACTCCGAATGAATCAGTTGTATCATTAATGGATATCCTTTACAATACTTTTAGTGTGCACGTTGCCTATTTTTCGACCTTGGATGAAGGTTTTCAAAAGCATAAATATCTTTTTCAGATTTTGCCACATAAATTTTCTATGTCCGCTAATCTGCAGAATGGCATTTCCTGTAATTAGTGCATTTTTGATGCAATTTCTTCAATGTCTATCATTCCGACCATGATGGATGTTTTCTTCACGAATTGGCAGGATTTAAAGACCCAGGTTGGTAATTTGAGAAATAAAATGGGCACAGCGGAACAGGTTTATTAGAATACTGGCGCTTCGGAGAGCTTGCTCGGCTTACCATGGTCAAAGCATAAAATGCACTTAATCGAACGCAAATAGAAATGGCGTGCCGAGCTAACCGACCTTGTGCTGATCAGTCTTTCTTCCCACTTTCTCGGTCTTGCGGGGAATGTTTGGCGGTTTTTTTTAACCGCGTATGTTGTGAGTCACCACCTCGTCGAGGGTAAGTGGCTCAGCCTCTGTCGGGGTTGGTCAGTCTGATGGCGACTCTTTTTCTCCTGAGCCGTGTGAACTCGTCGTCGGGTTGTTCTGTGTGGTCCTCTGGTCCTGAGCTTTATGAACGTAAATGATGCAGAAAGTTGTACGCTGCAGAAACGTCCAGATGCCCATTGATGGAGTTGGCATGTGAGTACCTCGCCTCAACTATTAGCCGTTCTGCCTTTAAGTTGTCCCGGCCTTAGCTGGTAATCCTATGAAATCGAAAGTATTGTCAATTTCTCCAACGAGCATTGCAAGTTGAGAGTTTGTGTCTTCACTCTGAGTTGCCGATTTGCACTGCTCTAGGTAGGTCTGCGATTTCAGCCCGGGTACCCAAACTCAGCTATAGTCCCCATCGTTGCAACTTATTTTGTAGACAACTGCTGCGGTTTCAGTGAGTGGCAGCGTGTCCTCAGGTTGCATCAAAAAGCGCTGAACTGTTTCCTGGAGTCGATGACCTATGCCTATTCTGGCGTGTTGTAACAGTCGAGAGACCGCCTCGGAGGCCCCTTTAATGTAGGCAATGGCTCTCCAGACTTCGTGTTCCTGCTGATATGACGTCTGTAGGTTCGTCGCCCGATTTCCTCGATAAAATGGTTGAGGTAACTTTTGGCTGTGAGGATATTCTGCAGGCATAGTCATTCGGCTCTTTGAACTCCTGGCCTTCTGTAGTGTGTTTCATCTCCTTGGAATAGGGTGCAGGCACATCTGCGTTTATGTGGGTGAGTATTGTTGAAGTTTAGCATTGGCCTCGTGTCGGTGGTTTTTCTGAATACTGTAGTTTACAGTTGTCCAGTTACACATCGGCGCGCAAGCACGTCAAGTAAGGGCAGTTGGTTGTGTGTTTCAGCTTCCATCCTGCACTGGATGTTCGAGTTAACCCTGTTCAGTAATCTCTTATGGTTTACGATGGCAGTCGCTTTGACAACGACGGTGCCGTCGGCATAACTAGTCCAGGACTTTGAATGATACTTGGTGAACTCTAAGTGTTCTATCCACTGAAGGACTACATCAGCAATCAGGCCTCATAGAGGGCAGCCCATTGTAGGGCCTTTACTTTGTTCGTTCATCCGTACACGAAAGGTAAGATATGCCTTAGTGAGGTGTCGTAGAATTACGAGCAAAATTCCGGGCTTCATGGCTTTTCTCCCTCTTCATAGCCTCCTGCCAGTATTTGATCTACAACGTCTATAGCTGAATGTTGTGGAATGGAGGTGAAGAGCAAAACGACATCAAAGGATACCATGGCCCCGTCTGGCCCTCACTTTAGGTATTTTATGCGCCTGAAGAATTGGTTCGCAGCTGGTACCGTTGTTAGTAAGCCTCCGATCAAAAACCTTAAATGACCGAACATGCATTTTTCTAAATCATATATCGGAGTGCCACGAGGGAAGAAGATTAGTTAGGGCGGTACATTTGTCTTTCATGCCTTCGGCAGACCGTACATACGAGCTGTAGCGGAGTCAGTGGGTTCTTTTAGAGAATCGGTCGCTGGATGTAATTATTCCCCGGCCGCGGGTTTTTCAGGCTTTTGTCTGCCCGGGTGACCAGATATTTCAGTAATGACAAAAACATTCCCATTATCGTGGTTGGAAAGAAGACCTCTGCTATTTTATGATAGATTGTCTATGCCTTCGAAAAATAGAATATAGGTTGATAAATTTGATCTTTCAGGATTTAGTAATTACCGTTATCGATAAGATGTTTTTGGGTTATCTTCAGTCAGTCTGGCAACCAGTAAAGTAACATGAGCAGAACTAGTAATGTGTGAAGGTCCCTAAAGCGATATTTAACCGAAAGGTTTGACCTTTATTTTACTATAATTTTCCGAATATTTCGCTTCAATTAGTTAATTAATTTTAATTAATTAGTTATTTTGTTTCTGTGCTACGCATACAGGGTCGAAACACTGTTTTGAAAACGACCTTCGCCCACACACCAAAGGTTCTTGAGATAGAATACATCTAATTGCAAAAACTGCGTTTTGGACGCATTTAGAAAGGTCACATGACATGATAAACCATCAAAAACTCAGCAAGGACGAA